AGGTTCAAATTATGCTCTGGTCATCCACATCGAAACACTGATCTTTCAGCCGACCCTCTCATTCCGCTACTCATTGTCATCTATTGCTGGTTTCTTTTAATGAGTGCTCTCTTCACCGGTCTCAATCTGGCGTTAATGTCCTTGGATCTTGATGATCTTCGCGTAGGTTAACAATTTTCAAGAATATTTCGAAATTCTAAAGTGGGCACAAAAGTATGCAGAACTACTTCAAGTTTCCGGGGTTATTCCTGTGGAAAAACAAGCAGACGAGACAAGACCAGGGCACGCCATCGTTGTGATGATCACAACGGGGGGTCGTATTTGACCGCGAGGGAGGGGGGTCGTATTTGGTCTGAGAAAATTTTTTGGTAGTTCACTCTTGTTTCACGGACGCTATAAAGGGGAGGGGGTCGTGTTTGGCCGTTGTTGAGAGAGGGACTGCCTAAGATCTATGATCTATACAACTACTATTTCCGATGGTTGAAAATGATAGTTAATTCCTGACGACCTCCTCCCTCCGCTCGACAGCAGAATTTTGGGGAGAAACCAGAAGGAAGTTTCGGAAAAACTGGTAGGAGGTTAGGGAATTTTATTGTTTTAGACCTTTCATTGTTTCACAATGGATTTAACATCCCCCCCCCTCGACGGAAAATTCTTGGCTGAAAAACTGGAAATTTTTCGGGAAAAAATGGAAAAGTGGTAGGAAGTTGGGAAAATCTAGGAAAGTGGTAGGTAGCATGGGGAGGGGGTCGTATTTGAGGATAGAATAGGGGAGGGTCGTATTTTTCAGGAAATGATCACAACACGATGGCGTGCCCTGGACTTGACATAGCCGCGCTGTAGCGGGGTTACGTGACAGCTGGAACTTCTGCTGGGGTCTTGGCGCGAAAAGCCAGAGCATACAGAAATAAAGGACTGCTGCTGCTAAGGTATTCAAAGAAACAGGTTGCAGAAACAGGTTGCGAGCCAAAAGGATGAGCTCCATCAGGGGCAGAGGAGCGGTGCGAATGAGCCACTGCTCGCGCGCAAAAAGTAGGAATGTGTAAGGTCGCAGGGGTCACAGAATGCAGACGTGAGAGCGCAGAGAAAAACAGAAATTCGACGCAATCAACGGGAGTAAGTCCAAGTTGTCCGTAGACCATGTAACGTGTGCGTTGACTAAGACCCCAGAAATTATGTTGCGAAACCTTGAAGTCTTGTTCCATCGATTGGGAGGAGAGGATGGATACTTGCAGGTGGGACATTAGGTCTCACAATAACGTAACGTAGAACTTCTGTCGACTGCGCCCAAGTTTGCCCAAAGGGACACTTCATAGACCTCTAAGGCTTTTGGGGGAACAACCAAGCGACCGTGCGCGCAATCGTCGAGTTAACTCCCTACCATATAGTCTGTAGATGCAAAGATATTTTTCTAAAGCCCGAATTTCAGCGTATTCGCGAGTACGACGAGAATCCGAAGACACGACGCTACGCGGCGAATATTATTCCGATAAGAGAGAACGGAAATTTCATGCTGTGCACGATTATACTTGGTCAGGTTTAAAGGACTCATCCATTAAAGGCACGTTACGCGATTACCATGGGGCTGTAATCCCTTCGGTACAGGGTGAAAGGCTCTGCAACTGCCAAAGTCTACCTTTTTGGCCCCTTAAAAGTGCGCAGCAAAGACGACCGGCACTCATGACCTATGGTACACGGTCTCTAAAGGTGATAAACGCCCACTGCAAATGTCACACATGGGCTAATGCTCAAAAAGAACTGGCATGAGCGAGAATACTCGTCTAGGGCATTCTTTCGAGCGTCTAGTTCTCTTTCCTTTAAGAACAAGCGCCTTACAAACAACAAGCACTGCTTGAACGCTGTTACCTTGCGGTCCTGTGTGCAAGTGTGCCATTAGGGGTTGCCCTTGCCTTGAAGTTTTTCCATAGCAGAAAGGTCTACCATTTCAGGTAACACAATCTGCAATACGATTTGTGTAATCACTTTCGATCTAATGACTCGTGGATTAGTTATGTCCGTTACAAAGCGACTGATTCTCATCAACGTCATTCCAACGTTGTTCATCATCTTCTTTTCCGAAGTAATCCCTCAAGTCCTCTGCACTAAGTGAGTATGACAATCATTAACGTGAGTAAGCTGCATATTGTGGGTAGTGCTGTTCAATAAAGAACCTATAATCGCCAAGCGATTCTCCAGGGAAGAAAAGCAAAAAAAACTCCGGCAGCACCCTAGGTAAGGACTCGTGACAGCTTCACTGAACGAGTTCGCCAGATCTACTCGTTTCATGCCAGCAAGGCGATATCGTGCCGCCTCTGCTTACTAATCGTCTTAGCGTCATCCAGTTCTCAATACCATCCAATAGAGAAAAAACGAGGAACACGGTGTAAAATCTGGTTTCTGACAGAATAGCCTTCAAGTTTGGTGGGTGGGGCGACTAAGTAGGCGTCGAAACTGCCACTTATGAAGGCCACAGCGCCTTCGTTACTTACTGTGAAGCTGCGAAAGTGGAACACCTTAGTAACTGAGGGCTAGACTACTTGTACAAGGAAGGATGCCTAAGAATTGCTTGAGCGCGGGAACTGCCTTCATGTGCACCACGCCTTCGTTGATGAGGAGAGGATATGGACGAGTGTAATTTGGCCATATGACGTTTCAGGTACGCTCTACCAATAGGAAGCCGTTGTCGTCATCTGATGGTATTCTTCATGGTACTAACCTTTCCGGCGAGCTATCCGTTGTCGAAGCTGCTCGACTGCTTGATCGGAAAAGGTGTTGCTACTGTTTTTCGCGTATTCTGTTTCCTTTCAGGGTTGTAGGGGGTATGTGAATGAACTTTGGCCTATAGAATGACTTACCATTGTTATTCTATGTGCAAGACAATGATTTTAACCATTTTAGACGGGTGTGGTACCAAACAACTGAACACATAGGGGTTGCAAGGCTTCACCTGGACAGGAGCCGATCCGGCTTGAGCGCCAGTGCGCGTGCGTGGTGCGCGGTGCCTTCTGTCAGAACCCTTTCTCCGCCTTCATATCTCAACTATGGCTCATATTTGGAGCGCTTAACATGCGCGTGATCTATAGAACACACTATATCGGGCTGTTGGTAGACAGACTCATGCAAGCACTTGCATGGAGTCTAGGTGAGTCTGGGCCTGCGCAGTCTCACAATACAGAACAGGCTTGATCAAGATGAGCCAATTACTGAACAACTTTGAGCACAACTGATCAATATGACGACTGACCTGGGTACGGGCCAGAACACTGACGTCGCGGTGAAACGCACAACTAGCTGGTACTTCCTAGCTAGCTGACTGGACCTTAATCCAGTTAGGTAGGTGATGGTGCGAGCGCCGCGGGGGTAACGCTGCTTGCAATGCTATTTTCGCCGCAACCCACATGTACAGACTGATCCCACCTTCTCTGAAGAGTTGCAGCGGTCCATATGGGCTCCTCCTACCTTCGGCGCCGCTTACGTTGGCACATGTACAGCGAATGGTCTCCAGCGATCACGCGGCTGTGTATTAGTTGCTTTTTCTGAATTACTGCTTCTTAATTTGCAGAGATGCGTATGTCGATAGATCGCCGAATGCTGGGCGGTTTGATGCGCCAACAGCAACAGCAGAAGTAGAAACTGTAAACATGGCCGACGTTGTAGAAAAACGGATGAATCTGCAAGTCGATGACGTGCCGTGGACGTCATGAAGCCGTCCGAGACGGTATACCTATCCCCTCCATGTTCGACAGCACTTCGCAGAAAATTGTGGAGGAAGCACGAACGCATGGGACAACATGGCTGCTAAGGGGGAGACGGGCAAGAGAATCGTAATTTGCCGCTCCGCTGCGCGCGGCCGTGGGCGCGGCGTTTTCTTACTCGTCGATCGGAGCACCGGACTTCATGTAGACCCCGTCATAGTAGACATTAATGACTATTTTCGGTTCCGAATTGCCTGTTGTCGCGCCATCTACTGGACGGAACCATCTTCATTTGCGGTCGCGACGTCGCACGCGCGCCCACTAGGACGACGAATTACGATTCTCTTGTCAAATACCCCTGTTAGGAGGTTGCTCCCCATATTTCTATACCTGTAGGTGAACATTTCAGGTGTTTATGATATCGGACAAAACGGAAGTAAATGCTAAGCTGAAAGTACAGCTGAATGAGAATCGACACACACGAATCCCAGTCTACAAAGGCAACGACCGCAATTGTGTAAGCATAATTCCTATACAATGTTGTTCGCTGCGGTGGCGGGAATGTGTTAGGAAGGCCGGATTTGGATCGGCGCCAGCACGTCTTCCATCAGCTGTTGTCGCTTTCCCCACTTCTACGTAGCCCCTTGACATGTCCTATATCCGCAGAGAACGAGACAATATTCGAAACATAACGTTGAATTGAATACAAGTTGGGCTGGCGCCACTATCGAGTGCATCATGTTCATGTTACGAACTTCTTTCCCATGCTATTTCTCTGTTTTTTTTTATTTTCATTGAGCGACTTTATCCCACGGAACCTGGAGCTTACCAGCGACAGGCTACCAGCAGACTGGTCCTTAGACTCTCTTGCTCGTCTGGTTTAATCGCGAACAAACTCTCCTAACTCTCATTGTTAAATGCACATCAGGGGTGTCTCTGGCTTCTAGAAAACCTCCTCTTGATTCCCGTCAGTGCTAATCTGAGGATTATTTTTCTGTTTCATGCGCACAATATGTCGCCACGCAGGCCGATTCAATGTTGAGTATAGGTGGAGCTAGTTTTAGAGGGCAAACACGTTTTGTAAAGGAATGAGTTGACATACTAAATCCCTTTCATGTAATACTTAACACTGCGATACTTGACTGGGTAGTCCTAAGAGAACCAATGAAGTCAGCT